ACTCGATCAGCCAGCACAGTTGGTACACGGGCGGCAATCGTCATCGCACTGGACGTTTCTTTCGATTGCCACCAAAACGGCGAGGCGAGGGCGGGGACGAGTCATCACGTTCGCCGCTTGCTTTCGCGGATGTTGCAGATTTCAGTTTTGGCGCGCAATTAAAATAATTCCGAATGAAAAGACATTTATTTACAAAACAATCGCGGGCCGCAAGGTGGAGGCTCACGGGCCGCATGCGGCCCGCGGGCCGCGGCTTGCCGACCGCTGCTTTAGATCATGATCTTCATGAGAAAAATGTTTTATTTGGTAGTTTGCCATTAAAAAAAAATAAATGATGTGATCTGAAAAGTACAGATTTCTTAGAAAGGCTTATTTACTAGGCTATTAAAATGGCTTTTCTGAGGCAAAACCAATTTATTTATTCTCTTTCGTTCATCGTTTGCAGTTCAAGAAGCCGAAAATGCAAAGTTTAGTGTACTCGAGGATAAAAATTTATCCCAACTTTGATTTTTTATATATCGATGCATATTTGGCATATATTGGAGCATATTATTTAATATCTTGTGCATATTTTTGTGAAAATTCGTGCATATACAGGTGTTCCGTTTTTATTGTTACAAACTTAAACAGGTGATAGAATAAGCGAGCTAAAGATCAGTCGTTGAAATTTTTAATCACAGGTCTCTTAAACGGTGAAACAAATTTAATTTTTTTTCATTCTCTTTATGGTCTGTAAGATAAATTGTAAACTGATTTTACTCAAAAACGGTAAGTTTTATCGAAAAAACGAAAGAGACCTCTTTTTGTGAAAAACTATGACATTTATAATTTTGTAGCTGAAAGTGGCAAAAACCAACCGCCAAAATAGTTACGGTACTTTTTACCCTAAACCCCCCAGTTTAGGACGCCCCTGAGTAAAAATTTGACATTTTATCTTTGAATCAGTTGTACCAAATTTTGTAATTTTATCCACGATGGTTTCTGAAATATTTGAAAAAATCCCTTAAAAGATGCACCCCTTTCAAGGAACGTGGCTCCCTTATATAAAATTTTTCGATATATGTTTATAGGAAACTTTTATCTTAAAATTGAATATTCTATCATCTGGTTAAATTTGTAACAATAAAAATGGAACCACCCTGTATATGCGCATATTTTACGAATTTTTCGTGCATATAATCCAAGCCTTAGTGATAAGATAACACACCTAATGACTACACACTGGTCTTTTCTGCTTGTTTTCATATCAATGTAACTGTTATCTCCAATGGCGAAAATATGAGGCGGTAGCTCATTTAATTTCTTGTTTTGGTACTCCTTAATTAGGGCGTTTGTGTAAATTGGTAGCACTTCGTAAGGGTTAATTGCTACCAACATCGAGCCGATGTAAGTCTAAAATCCCCAGTTTTGTCACCAAATGGGTTTAGTTGCAACTTACGTATATGTTTCTGCTCCTGTAGCGTTTATGCAAGTTTCTCAGTATGGCATAGTCCTGTAAATCCCCCAGATTGATCATATCCTCCACGCCCTCTACGGAGGATATGTGCATGTTTTTGACAACTTGTTGGTGGGAGATGGAGATGTCATTTCCGTCGTCATCTTTGACTCGGATTCGGCGTTCTTCAATTGCTGTTATTTTGCCACCGATTAAAATATCAAACTCGCCATTTGTCACGGGTTGGATCCAAATGTGGTCCCCCTAAAATAATACAGTTTTGGGGTTTTTTACCAATTAAAGTTGGGAGTTTCTACCACAACGAGACCACTGGTTTTCGACATTTTTACAACACTTTATCACTGACACATTGTTGCTAAAATTGATCACTGTTCTGATCGTTTTAATCGCTATTGTGAAATATTTTATTATCAGACTGATAAGTCGAATCTTTAAATCTGTTATAGATTTTCTGATAAGGTGATTAATGAGAATATTTGAGGTGATTGTTTCACTACATTAAAACGCGGTTATCTAAACTTTGAGTGCTTTTTTTTCAAAGAATTGATAGTAATTGACCAAAAAGAGTGAAAAGCTTCACATTGAAGAAATTAAAAATAAAACCGTAGAATATATAAACTGAAGAATGAAAGAGGCGAATTTTGAGAATTCCAGAATGGAAAAACCTTCCAAAAAAATAAAAGTTTCAAAGTATAAATAAAACATTTAATAAATAAAAGAAACAAAAAACAAATAAATCCAAGTATTTAAAAATCTTTTTTTGTAAAAAAATTAAATATTCCAAAACTTCAAGATTTTACAATTAAAAGAACATAAAAATTAAATAACAATAAATTCAAAAACAAAAAATTAAATAATTTAAGAATCCAAGAATTGAAGATTCAGAACAAAAATCAAAAATCCACTAATCGAATAGAAAAATTTGAAAACTGAAAAAGCCAAAGGTTGAAGAGGATTCCAAAATGAAAAAGTTAAAGTACCTACTTAAAGAAACTGTAAAAATTAAAAATTAAAAAATCGAAGAAATAAAAAAACATACAAATATTACAAATCCAAGTATGTATTTAAGAAAATTTAAATTAATAACAAATGAATTCAAAACAGAAAGAAAGA